CTAGATCGGCTCTTCTATATCTACACTTCGGGAACAACAGGGATGCCCAAAGCCGCCATTGTGGTGCACAGCAGGTGAGGCCCTGAGGACGTTCTTCCCCCTTGAGGCGCCTTTCGCATCGCGAAACCCCGGCCTTTACCCGTCTCGCTCGCTTAGCGCGCGCTGCGTTCTTGCAGGTACTACCGTATCGCTGCCTTCGGTTACTACGCCTACAAGATGCGCCCGGAGGATGTCCTCTACAACTGCCTCCCGCTCTATCACTCCGCAGGTAAGCGGCCTCCTCCTCGGAGGCGGAGGTAAGGCGCTGGCCTCCCCCCCCCGCCTGCTCCTTCCTGCGTCCTCGTGAGCGCGCGGCCCCGGGATGGTCGGAGCCATCCCCGTGGTCCTTGTTTTCCAGGTAACATCATGGGAGTTGGCCAGTGTCTGATCCACGGCCTCACGGTGGTGATCAGGAAGAAGTTCTCGGCCAGCCGCTTCTGGGACGACTGCACGAAATACAGATGCACGGTGAGGGCTCCGCGGTCGCCACCTTCGGCGCTCGATTCGAGAGCGCCAGGTTCGCTGCTTAATTATCGATCTCCAGATAATCCCCCGTCCCTTGTCGGGTATCGGGGGGCCTGCGCCGCGGCGTCTTCAAACGGCCGGTGCCGCTTTAGGCACGCAGGGCTTCAGAAAAGGTCTTTCGTCCATCTTTTCTCTTTGTAAAGTTGTCAAGACCAGCTTTTAAAGCTCCACTTTGCATCCCTTAGATTTGCAGGAAAGCTCTGCCAGAATTTAGGAATCTCTGCAGAGGAATTCTCTCGGCAGCTGATAGCCAATGAACATCTCTTTCTGTTTATGTCAACGCTACCTTCTAATTTAAGCAGCCCTTTCTCCTCCCCGCTGTTTGCCTTGCCCTTTCCTCGCCGGCGGTATTTATAGCTGGTAATTGGATCTCCGCTCCGACCGCGTTCTGCTGGGTCAGGCTGTTAGGTTACGATTGACCACTCGTTCCCCCCGTCTTCCCAGAGGTCTTCCCGTCACCTGTTAAAGCACAAGGGTGTTTCTTTATTCACGCTGAGGGATCCCTCCTGTGCTCTTTTCTGGCGCTAGCGTGGGGGTTCCGGAGGGCAACGACTGTTTTATCTTTGCCTGGTGTTTGTTTGTGGTTTTTTTTTTTTTTTTTTTGCGGCGAGAAATCCCAACTTGAACTCGCCAAACCGCAGAGTTTATTAAAATGCCTGACGTGTTCAGTTCCACGAGGTACGCTGACACCAGCGGCCTCGTGGTCGGCTTTTTCCAGGGCGTTGTAAGGGTCGCCTGAAGCCTGAGCTATGTTTTTGTGTTTACTGCTTCAGATTATTCAGTATATCGGGGAAATCTGCAGGTATCTTCTGAATCAGCCGGTCCGAGAGTCCGAAACCCAACACTGCGTGCGGCTGGCGGTGGGCAATGGTTTGAGACCCACCATATGGGAGGACTTCACAAAGCGCTTCCGAATTAAGCAGATCGGAGAGTTCTACGGAGCCACGGAGTGCAACTGCAGCATTGCCAACTTGGATGGAAAGGTGAGGAGGAAGAGGGCGCCGCGACGGCCACGGGGAGCGGGCAGAAAGGAGGAAAACCTCCGCTGGCTTCTCTGCCGCCTCCCAGTCCTCTCGCGAGGGATGGCAGGGAGCTACGTTGGTAATCGGGGGCGGCGTGTGCACAAACCTGGGAAAACCGTTACGTTTTGGGTGAATTTGCCTGTTAAACGGAAAGGGAGGAAAGAGCAGAGAATTCCCGGAAAGCGGTAATGCAAAACCCAAGCCGTTCTCTTCAGCCTGTTGGGTTGTTTTGTTTTTTGTTTTTTTTTTTTTTTCCTGTCTTTCGGAAGGTCGGCGCCTGTGGGTTCAACAGTCGGATTTTGCCCAACGTTTATCCCATTCGTTTGGTGAAGGTCAACGAGGACACGATGGAGCTGATCCGGGATTCCGGTGGGCTCTGTATCCCCTGTCGCCCAGGTGAGCGTGAACCCGAACAAATCAATCGCAGCTTTTTGTTCTAAAAAACATAGAATATATAATAAGCTCTGTCTGGTTGACGGCGTTTCCAGTGTCGCCTGCAGGGTTTTCACTTCCAGTTCTTTCCTCCAAAGATGGATCCAGTTCAGCAACCGTGCGGAAAAGTTTAGCGTGTCGTGAAATGTCGGTGCCATCGTGCGTTAATCCCGTTTTCCCGCAGGAGAGCCGGGATTGCTCGTCGGTCAGATCAATCAGCAGGATCCCCTGCGTCGCTTCGACGGCTACGTCAGCGAGAGCGCCACCAACAAGAAGATCGCTTACAACGTGCTTTGGAAAGGGGACCAGGCGTACCTTTCAGGTACTGTCGGTACGGATTGCAGGCGTTCCTCGTGCAAAGGCGGTCTCGAGAGACCGAAATCCGGGATTTTTGAGTGCAATCGATGATCTTAAAGGTCTTTTCCAACCTAAATGATTCTATGAACAGATGTGTTAGCGTTTTGAAGTTGCCAGCTGTTGAGCTGCACTGGATTTAATAAAAAATTAACGTTTCAAAGTGGGAGGGATTTTTTTTTTTCCCCCCTCATCCTTTTCCTACTGCTGCCTGCCTCCCGTAACGAGGAGACGCGGTGGCGGGAAGTCACCGAGGCGCTTCTGCGCTTCCCTGGGAAGAAAACGGCGCGGCACCGAGCAGAGGGCGGTGAGGCAGTCCCGAGCGCTAACGGACTTGGATCCTGAGGTGGTTTTTGGCCTCTCCCCCTCCCAGGAGACGTGTTGGTGATGGACGAACTCGGTTACATGTACTTCAGAGATCGCAGCGGGGACACCTTCCGATGGCGAGGAGAGAACGTCTCCACCACGGAGGTGGAAGGAACGTTGAGTCGCATCCTCAACCAGACGGATGTTGCGGTGTACGGAGTGGAAGTACCAGGTAAAACCTTGAGTCGGAGCTCTGGGGATTTAGGGAGGAAGGCAAATATCGGGCAAACGTACCGGATCTGCGTCGGAACGGGCAGAAATCGGTCGCCTCTCTTGTAACCAGGCACCCAAGAACGGAAAGACAGAATCGAGTCAAGCAGTGGAGTTTGACACATTGATTCTGAGCGGTAGAAATTACGAGATCCAGCAGCGGAATCTTAATTTCTGTCTTAACAAGGAAGGTTTTTACGACGTGAGCTTTGCAGAAGCTCTTGGCGTGCAATAGACCGTTCCGTGGGTGCGTGCCAGCCCTCGGACCTTCAAGAAATCCAGGAACGGGGTGGGAACCGAGCGGTCGTGGGCCGGAGAGGTGCCCGTCGTGGCGCTTCCTCAATTTTTATCACGGCGTACGTGAGAAAGCCGATGAGAACAGGAATTGGGTTAGCTTTCGGGGCGGCCTCGACTAAGGGGCGAGGGGACGCGATGGCAACGGTCTCGGAGCCGCTGGTATTAAATTGGGTTTTCCTCAGCGCCTTTGCGCTTCGCCTTGAAGAAGGAGGAAAAAAGCCGCGCTCGCCTCTGCTAAACGTTTCGTACGTCTGCGGTCTCCGCCCCAGCTGCGCTCCTCTGTTTCAGGGGTGGAGGGCAAAGCTGGGATGGCGGCGATCGCGGATCCCAAAGCTAAAGTCAACCCCAAGGTCCTGTACCAGGAGCTGCAGAAGGTGCTGCCTCCCTACGCCCGGCCCGTCTTCCTCCGGCTCCTACCCCAGGTTGACACCACAGGTACGGGTGATCCGGCTGCTCTCCGGGAAGCTTCGCATCCCGAAAGGAGCTTGGAAGCGTTCCCGCCTGCTTCAGGGTGAAATAACGTCCCGCCGTCGAGTGCGGCAGGCGCAGAAGCACCTCTCCTAAAAACGATGAGTGCGGTTGAGTCTTAAACAAGAAATCGTCCAGTTCCAGGCCCTTATAGGAAAGATCTATAGATGCATAGGAACGCGTGCGCTCTAATGCTCTCGTGTGCTGTCCGTTGCCTTTCCCGGGGCTTTCCTCCAGGCCGAGTCAGCTGCTATCTGGCTGCTGCGTTTTCTGTTTTCCATTCCCCAGGAATTTCACTGGCTCTTTACCAGCCCGGGGGTGAGGAGAAGTAAAAATTGCGCAAGGTTTATGTAAGAACTCCGCTAACGATCAGGAGGGTTAACGAGCCTCGAGTTGCTAAAATTGTTAGGCAAAACCTTAGGCCACCCGTGACGTTTCCTCCGCGCTCTGGTGCTCGAGCGGGCTTTTCGATGCAAGGTATTTTTAATTTCTTTTTCTCTTTTTGAAGGTACATTTAAGATTCAGAAAACCCGCTTGCAGAGGGAAGGATTCGACCCCCACCAAACCTCAGACCGGTTGTATTTTCTGGATCTAAAGTCGGGAAAATACGTTCCTCTGGATGAATGCCTTTATGAAAGGATTTGTTCTGGAAAAGCCGCTTTATGATCTGGTCCCATTCAGCCTTTTCGAGGAAAACGATGACTAATCGGAGGGCCGACGCTCGCGGGAGGCGAGGGATTCCTTAGGCGGTGAATCGCCGGCGGGGACGCGCCTCGCCTGCCGTCTCCCTCCCCTAAAGCACATTAACCCGTCGCCCGCTCCCTCCCCGAGCGCTGCCGTCCCATTAACCCCCCCTTACGCCTCTAGAGAGAGTATTTTTGTAACCACTACCCGCTTAGGGAGGAGCGCGATGGCCATATTTATTTACGGAGATCCCCGCGCCCCGCAGCGGCTTCTCTCTGCTCCGACTCGGAACTTTACTCACCGACTTAGACGACTTTTAACCTCACTTGGTGTTAGGGCACGTTTTAACTACCCCTGCCCTTAGGGCTGGGGATGCGAGGACATTAAAAAGAAGAAAATGTGACTCTGATGGGTGCTGTGGTGGAGGGGAGCGGCCTTTGGGTTCGCCCTCCCTGTGGTGGCGGCAGCCTGAGGCCTGGCGGAGCCGGGGGTTTGTGCTCGGAGGGTGGAAAGTAACGGGGTAAAGCGGTGAGAGCTCAGCCCGCCTCCGCCTCCCTTCGTCCCACGGCGCTCTCCCGGAGAAACCGGCTGCTCGGGGCGCGGATGGGCGTACGCTTTGCTGGGTAAAAACCGGCTGGGCCCAAGGAGTTGTGGTGAACAGAGTTAAATCCAGTGGGCGGCCGGTCACCAGTGGCGTCCCCAGGGCTCCGTACTGGGGCCAGCTCTGTTTAACGCCGTTATCGATGATGGAGTCCGCGGCGAGGGGATTCGCGCCCCCGAGGTTTGCGGGAGCGTTGGGCTGCGAGGGCAGGGAGGCTCTGCCCTGGGGCCTGGCCAGGCCGCAGCCGTGGGCCCGGGGCCAGCCGGGCTCCGCGTCG